CTGTCACCAAGGGAGTACCCCAAGGCTCGATCCTAGGCCCCACGCTCTTCTCAGTTTACATCAATAACATAGCTCAGGCAGTAGGAAGCTCTCTCATCCATTTATATGCAGATGATACAGTCTTATACTCAGCTGGCCCCTCCCCGGATTGTGTGTTAAACGCTCTATAATAAAGCTTTTTTAGTGTCCAACAAGCTTTCTCTGCCCTTAACCTTGTTCTGAACTCCTCCAAAACAAAGGTAATGTGGTTTGGTAAGAAGAATGCCCCTCTCCCCACCGGTGTGATTACAACCTCTGAGGGTTTAGAGCTTGAGGTAGTCACCTCATACAAGTACTTGGGAGTATGGCTAGACGATACACTGTCCTTCTTTCAGCACATATCAAAGCTTCAGGCTAAGGTTAAATCTAGACTTGGTTTCCTCTATCGTAATCGCTCCTCTTTCACCCTAGCTGCCAAACTAACCCTGATTCAGATGACAATCCTACCCATGCTAGATTATGGAGACATAATTTATAGATTGGCAGGTAAGGGTGCTCTCGAGTGGCTAGATGTTCTTTACCATTCGGCCATCAGATTTGCCACCAATGTTCCTTATAGGACACATCACTGCACCCTATACGCCTCTGTAAATTGGTCATCTCTGTATACTCATCACAAGACCCACTGGTTGATGCTTATTTATAAAACCCTCTTAGGCCTCACTTCCCCCATCTGAGATACCTATTGCAGCCCTCATCCTCTACATACAACACCCGTTCTGCCAGTCACATTATGTTAAAGGTCCCCAAAGCACACACATCCCTGGGTCGCTCCTCTTTTCAGTTCGCTGCAGCTAGCGACTGGAACGAGCTGCAAAAAACACTCAAACTGGACAGTTTTATCTCCATCTCTTGATTCAAAGACTCAATCATGGACACTCTTACTGGACAGTTGTAGCTGCATTGCGTGATATAGTGTTGTCTCTACCTTCTTACCCTTTGTGCTGTTGTCTGTGCCCAATAATATTTGTTCTATTTATTGTGCTGCTACTATGTTGTGCTGCTGCCATGTTGTGTTGCTACCATGTTGTTGTCATGTTGTGTTGCTGCCATGCTATGTTTTTGTCTTAGGTCTCTATTTATGTAGTGTTGTGGTGTCTCTTTTGTCTTGATGTGTGTTTATTTTTAATCCCAGCCCCCTTCCCCACAGGAGGCCTTTTGCCTTTTGGTAGGCCGTCATTGTAAATAAGAATTTGTTCTTAACTGACTTGCCTAGTTAAATAAAGGTTAAATAAAAAATAAATAAAAAAGTTACCCTAGGGCGCTAGTTACCCCCTAATACCCTATTATTAATAAAGGTTTGAACACTGATGACAATTTCTGTGGAGACCATTACAGCAAATAAAAAAACAAACACAGAATAAATAATTAAACAGAATCATAACGAAGATAAAGCAAATGTAGTGAGCAAAAATGTTTGAATAAGTGTAATGACATCGTGTGGCCATATTGCATAATTACAGTCTCGAACGGGGCAGGACCTCGAGAGCTTTCGGGGGTCCCTGAAAAAGCTGAGATAAATAACAAATTGAATATTAACAGCAGGAGCTATAAAATATAAACCACACATTTGAGTCAAGGTAACAAACCCACACACACAATTGAATCAAGGCCAAGTGAAAGACGCAGTGTGTATAAACCTATCAATGATGGGTATGGGACCTGGGTATGATATTTGGTCTATTTGTATACAATCTACAGACATAAACAAGGTAAGAGATTCAGGGTACCGGTATTATATTTTCTATATAGTTTATACTTCTTTATATATTTGTATATATTGTAGCAACCCTCTAGGTCTAGGACTATCATGCAGGGCCTCATGGGCAAAGGAGTTGCACCTAGTTCAGCTATGATAGGCCACTAGGTTTGGGGGTTAGAGCAATGGGAATTAAGAGGACGTAACTCACCTGCATACCCATAGTGCACTATGGTAATAAAGACCACACAAAGAGGGAGAGCCCAGATGAGATGGACGGACATCCCTAGAAGGCTCCTGGACCATGGCGTAATATTGGTGCTTTATAAGAACAAGAGAGGCTGACTACACCGCGGTCAGGGGTGGGGCCCCTGGGAGCTACGACACCTCAGTGCTCCTGAATCCCGGCCTGCAGGTCAGGTTGCACCAGGAGAACTCTCACTGGTTCTGGTGGTCCACCCCCAGGGAGGCGATATGGAGAGGTCCTGAGTTTCACGATGCCAGTGGGGAGGATCCCTTTTATTTATCGCTCTGTGAAGCCAGTCTGCAGCTGTGCTAAAGATGGAAACGCCTGCGCTCGACTCTACATCAGGAAGTCCTTTGATCAATGGAAGGACGCTTTCTACTACTCCTGTATTGGCTTCTACTCCAAAGGCAAACTCGTCTTTAAGGAGTATGAGACCTACCAATGGGCAGTGAAATTCTCCAAGGAGGATTGGGGGGACATACCAAACTATGATGTCTATGTGTATCAGTCTAGTATTACCATGTCTTCTGGGGTCGAGGCCAGATTCAAGCTGGAGAAATATAATAGACAAATATGCTGTACTCAATCCTGGGAGAGAGCGAGATTAGAGACCAAAGACCTTATTTACAGCTTTGGGGCAGCAGGGAGCCTAGCGGTTAAGTGTTGGGCCAGTAACCGAAAGGTTGCTGGTACGAATCCCAGAGCCGACTTGGTGAAAAATGTGCCCTTGAGCAAGGCACTTAACCCTAATTGCAACTGTAAGTCGCTCTGGATAAGAGCGTCTGCTAAATTACTCAAATGTAAAAAGGTCTAGTCTAGGTGTATAACGGATGTACGGTACAGGAGGGAAATCATGTTCATTACAACATACATTTAACTGCAGTAGACCACAATCAATTCAAATCACCAGCACATACACGTATTCAGACCCCTTGACTTTTTCCACATTTTGTATACGTTCCAGCCTTATTCTAAAATGAATTAAATAGTTTTTTCCCCCTCTTCAATCTATACACACTACCCCATAATGACAAAGAAAAAACAGGTTTAAATTTTTTTTTGCAAATGTATATATAAAAAAAATACAACGGATATAACATTTACATAAGTTTTCAGACCCTTTACTCAGTTCTTTGTTGAAGCACCTTTGGCAGCGATTACAGCCTCAAGTCTTCTTGGGTATGACGCTACAAGCTTGGCACACCTGTATTTGGGGAGTTTCTCCCATTCTTCACTGCAGATCCTTTCAAGCTCTGTCAGGTTGGATAGGGAGCGTCGCTGCACAGCTATTTTCAGGTCTATCCAGAGAAGTTAGATCGGGTTCAAGTCCTGGCTCTGGCTGGGCCACTCAAGGACATTCAGAGACTTGTCCCGAAGCCACTCCTGCGTTGTCTTGGCTGTGTGCTTAGGGTCATTGTCCTGTTGAAAGGTAAACCTTCTCCCCAGTCTGAGGTCCTGAGCGCTCTGGAGCAGATTTTCATCAAGGATCTCTCTATAATTTGCTCCGTTAATCTTTCTCTCAATCCTGACTAGTCTCCCAGTCCCTGCCGCTGAAAAACATCCCCACAGCATGAAGCATGATGCTGCCACCACCATGCTTCACCATAGGGATGGTGCCATGTTTCCTCCAGATGTGACGTTTGGCATTCAGGCCAAAGAGTTCAATCTTGTTTCTCATGGTCTGAGTCCTTTAGGTGCCTTTTAGCAAACTCCCTGACCAAGGCCCTTCTCCCTCGATTGCTCAGTTTGGCCGGGCGGCCATCTCTAGGAAGAGTCTTGGTGGTTCCAAACCTCTTCCATTTAAGAATGATGGAGGCCACTGTGTTCTTGGGGACCTTCAATGCTGCAGACATTTTTTGGTACCCTTCCCCAGATCTGACTCGACACAATCCTGTCTCGTAGCTCTACGGACAATTCCTTCGACCTCATGACTTGGTTTTTGCTCTGACATGCACTGTCAACTGTGGGACCTCATATAGACAGGTGTGCCTTTCCAAATCATGTCCAAACAATTGAATTTACCACAGGTGGACTCCAATCAAATTGTAGAAACATCTCAAGGATGATCAATGGAAACAGGATGCACCTGAGCTCAATTTTGAGTCTGTTTTTTATTTTTAATAAATGTGCAAGAATTTATAAAAACCTGTTTTTGCTTTGTCATTATGGAGTATTGTGTGTAGATCGATGAGTAAAAAAAATGTGGGGATCAATTTTAGAATAAGGCTGTAACGTAACAAAATGTGGCAAAAGTGAAGGGGTCTGAATCCTTTCCGAATGCACTGTAGGCCTGCTCAGCTTCAGCTTATATTCTACTTTAAAGTTATTTTTCAGAAAGACAAGAATGTCCACATTCTCTGCTATGTGTTTCCCATAGGATTTCTTCCAGTAGAGGGAGAGACAGAGATTGGAGACCATAGATCTTATTTACAGCTACAGAAAGTATAGTGTAGGTACTAGGTAAATAGAAAAATGTTGTATTTTTTAATCAGGGCATACAACAATGTCAATGTAACCAGCCGTAGAAACAAATGTAGTGACAGACAGAACAGAATACATTTTGATAAAAAATTTAACTTGTATTGTGCATCAATAAAAAGCATGACTATATACACCATATGTACAGAATGCACATAAACACTGTGCTACAAAACTATTTAGATACAAAAACAACCTATGAGAGAACAAAACCAAAAAAACAGTAACAGAACAGAGAGGAGTTACACTCAAAAGAGAGAGATCAGGGCTTGTATACAGAAAGTGTCTCAGAATAGGAGTGCTGACCTAGGATCAGGTCCCCCCCGTCCATATATTCTTGTTCACTATGATCTAAAAGGCCAAGCTGATCCTAGATCAGGACTTCTATTTTGAGACGCTTTATGAATACAGGCTGATAGAGATTGTAGGAACAGTAACTGGAATGCTGGCCAAGGCTATGTATACTGTTGTGAGAATCTTGTGAATCCCCCAAAACAAAATGTTCCCTCCTTCCACATCACAACACCGTCCATTCCGTTAGTCCTGTTGTTGTAGTTGCGGCTGCTGGAAGTAGTCACAGTACAATTGTCTGACCTCCTCACCCTGGAGGTGGTCTGAAGTTCCAGAGGGGGAGGGGGCGCGGGCCGCAGTGTGACCAGGCTGGGGGTTCTCTCCCTGGGTCACCTCGCCCTGCCATTCCCCCTGGAGCACGTCTCCATGGGCCTCACACACGTTGTGCAGGATGCAACAGGCCAGGATCATGGTGGGCACCACGTCCAGGCTGCAGTCGTTCCTCTTGCTCAGGCATTGCCACCGCGCCCGCAGGCGAAGCAGCGCCACCTCCGCCACGCACCACGCCCGCACAAATCGCTACAGCAGGACACAAAGTAACCAGGTTAAATGTTGATAAACTCCTTTTTAAAACTGCTTTACTGCAGCAAAACTCGGTCTACTCCAGTCTAATGTGTAAGTTTAGCTCACAACTGTGTAAAACGTGTGAAATGTTCACAGAATTTTTAATTTTAAACACGTTACTTCTTTGAGTTTAATCCTGGAGTGATTCTGTTTTGCGTTGTTGAAAATAAAACCTGCCTGGTTGAAGACCCTCTGGGACTCCGTGAGCCCTCCTTCCTCCTCCTCCACATCATCCTCCTCCTCCTTCTTGGAATAGGCCTTCATCAGCCAGGGCTGGAGGGGGTACCCTGGCTCCCCCAACAACACATATCTGGACAAGACAATGTGCTCTCAGTCAACTCAGCTGGTACGACACAGGTCACCGGAGGGATAACCAGAATAATTGTAGCACTGGACTACTATTACTGCTACTGCTTATACTACTGCAAGTAATAATGATAGCACTATCTAAAAAGGTAAATAATAATAATAATAGCATCAATGATACCTCAGGGGCTTTCCCATGAAGCTCGGGGGTGGGTCAGGTGACAGCCCGCCCTCGGAGGCCAACGCCCAAAGTGCTGAGTTCTGCAAGATGGCCGTCGGCTCAGTGCTGCCGGGGAAACCAGCGCAGACGTCCCAGAACTGACCCAGGCCATTCACAGTCACCTAACAGACAGACAGACAGATGAGTGTTACTACCAGACAGTCCCAAATAGCCACCTGTCCCTTTCAATAGCCGGGCATCGGCACACATTTCAGCAAATATGTGTCCAAATGAATTGTTTATCGGCACACGCTCTCCATGGTGCTGAACCGCAAAATCGGGGGGTGTATGATAGGCAGCCTAGTCTTTGCAAGTCTGATCTGCGAAGGATTTTTTATTCTAATGTTTATACTGGTCATACTGGTCACAATAAATGGTGTGGTAGCCTTTTCAACATTTTATTGAGCAAAAATAGATGCCTGACTCAAATAGAAGCCTGTTGCCGGTTGTGTTCAGCGATTGAAGCAAATAAACACCCGGGCTATTAATTGGAATTTTTCAGTAATTAGCAAGATGCTTATAATTCTTTAGCAGCATCAGCAGAGGTCCTGTCCTACCTGGGAGACCACAGAGAGCCACCCATCTGGGTTGGCATAGTTGGTCACGTTAGCGGATGGCGTGAGGATGGCGGTGTGGAGGGTTGCCACGGCGCCCACGCAGTGAGGGAAGCCCCAGCGAGACAGGAAGTGACGCGCAGAGTCTTCCACTTCCTGTTCGCTGGGCGAGCGTAGGTAGACGGGTCGGAGTAGCGTGACGATGGCGTGACACACGTCCCTCACACACTTACACACCGTGGAGCTGCCCACGCCAAACAGCCCACTGATGGTGCGGTACTCAATGTTGGACGCCAGCCGCCACAGGGCGACCGCCACACGCTTCTCCAGCGGAAGCGCCCGGCGGAAGTGGGTGTCCTGGCGAGCCAGGCGGGGTTTCAGCTTGCCACACAGGAAGAAGAAGGTCTCCCGGCTCATGCGGAACTTCTCCAGCCAATCAGAGGGCTGGAACTCTGTCATCACTACCCGCTCCCACCAATCGGTGCACTCCGTGCTGGTCCAGGGTCGGGTACGGATGTCACAGCTGCAGCGCACGTCTCGAGCTGTCAGCATCTGGAGAGAGAGCAAGGGAGAGGGTTGATATACCACGGCTTTCAGCCAGGTCACCCTTGATACAAATCAGTATTATAAACTGGGTGGTTCGCGCCCTGCATGCTGATTGGCCGAAAGCCGTGGTATATCAACCCTATACCACGGGTATGATAAAACATTTATTTTTACTGCTCTATTATGTTGGTAACCAGTTTGTAATAGCAATAAGGCGCCTTGGGGGTTTGTGGTATATTGCCAATATACCAGGGCTAAGGGCTGTATCCAGGCACTCCGCATTGCGTCATGAATAAGAACAGCCCTTAGCCATGGTATATTGTCCATATACCACACTCCCTCCGGCCTTATTGCTTAATTAGAAGTCCATCCATGTCTGAGGACGTCGGGAGATGGCGTGGAAATTGGCCGATATGGGCAACAGTGAGCGCTGTTACCTTTAAGTAGGTTTTGCTAGGTCGTTGTGGACGGGTAAGTATCTGCCCCTAGTGCTAAAGGTTGGATGTTTTAATCCAGCGATAGAAAGTTGCTTTTGATATTTTTGTTTTAAGCCTATCCAAAACCTTAACCATTCAGAGTTAATGTCTAAACTTAACCCTTACAAATTCGGAGTTAATGCCTAAACGTAACCTTAAACACTTCGAAAGTTGACGTTTGAGAAACATGGTTGAACGTCTGACGTGACACTGTAAGAGCTTGTTGCTTTGTTTGTGTGCTTTCCCCCTTTTAGCTATTCGTGAGCTTTCCAGGTTAGCGTGGAATGCAGTCTAATGGACTTTGTAATAGAAACTGCTTGGTTTAGCTTTATCAGATTACAGTACCATGAGCATTCGCCTCTGCCTTTGGAAGAAGTACTGTCTGTGGCGGATACGTCTCTGCACCTCATTGCGTCTCTGTGTATCCGCGTTGTGTATGTCTCTTCGGCGCTTCATCAGCAAATAGGTCATTAGGAACATTAACGGCCGAAGCTTGTCTTCATCTGCCATTTTAATCTCTTTCAACAGTTGAAGAGCTTCTCACAAATGGACAAAAGCAAACATGATTTCTAACCATAGAGGTAGGTTCTAACCATTGAGGTATATAAGGTTCTAACGTGCAATGGGCGGTGGACTTCGTTGCAGGAAGATTAGAACAACACTAGGTCGAACTTCCGGTAGGTTTTTCTCATGAATTTCAAAATAAACGTTTTACTGCTAATGAAAAAAATGTATAGCGAACAGATTAGGCTATTTTTGTGCACAAAAAGTACTTGAATAAATCTGATTGATTTGCTTTAACATAACAAGACGAACAGTTTAGGAATAGGATGTAGATCTCAGTGTTTTAACCAACCACACCAAATAATAAAGATATGATCAAACATGTCCAATGTTATCCATCATAGTAATAATTTACAATAAAGGGGGGCATTCAAACGACAACCATTAAAAAGCAACTTTAATAAAACAAGATATGTACTTTGCTGAATTGAGTCAAAAACAGATGTGACATTTAAATACTGTATTCTAAACAAATAGCCATTTTGGTGGGCTTTCTGTACATATGTCGCAGGGACTGCAGTCTTAAGAAATCACTAAATATTCTGAGTAAGACACAGTGGTGTGGGCTAACTGAAGCCAGCAGTGTCACTACAAGTGGAAGGTAGAATGTTCTTAGAAATCTGATTCTGATGCTTTTCCCTTCACACAAATCTGGTTCTAACTTGTGCTTTTCCCTCCACACAAATCTGGATCTAACTGATGCATTGCTCTCTACATAAATCTAGATCTAACTGATGCTTTTCCCTCCACACACATCTGGATCTAACTGATGCTTTTCCCTCCTCACAAAACTGGATCTAACTGATGCTTTTCCCTCCACACACATCTGGATCTAACTGATGCTTTTCCCTCCACACACATCTGGATCTAACTGATGCTTTTCCCGCCACACACATCTGGATCTAACTGATGCTTTTCCCTCCACACACATCTGGATCTAACTGATGCTTTCCCCTCCACACACATCTAGATCTAACTGATGCTTTTCCCTCCACACACATCTGGATCTAACTGACGCTTTTCTCTCCACACAAATCTGGATCTAACTGATGCTTTTCCCTCCACACACATCTGGATCTAACTGACGCTTTTCTCTCCACACAAATCTGGATCTAACTGATGCTTTTCCCTCCACACACATCTGGATCTAACTGACGCTTTTCTCTCCACACAAATCTGGATCTAACTGATGCTTTTCCCTCCACACAGGGGCACTATCAAGTTGTTATCTTCTTGCTGCATCTGTAGTGTTGTGTTGTCACAAGTAAAAAGAGATAAATTAGTGGCCTGCTGAGTTCAGACCTTAGCGTCTTTACTCATGTATTCAAAACGTATTCATGTTGTGATATGCGAACACAGAAAATACAGAAAATTATGACACAATGACAGTTTTCTATTTGTTGTGAAAGCATCTCATATGTCTTCTCAAGTTTACTTTGAAAGAGAAGCAATTGCCACTCTGTCCACAGTAACATTTGTCCCCTGTGTGAACAGTCATATGGTATTTTAAATGGCTCAGGTAGGCAAAGCATTTATTGCATATTGGACACCTATATGATTTCTTCCATGTGTGTATGGTCTTTTTAATTATAAGGCCCTGTGATCAACATTACATTACATTTTAGTCATTTAGCAGACGCTCTTATCCAGAGCGACTTACAGTTAGTGAGTGCATACATTTTTATACTGGAATCGAACCCACAACCCTGGCGTTGCAAATGCCATGCTCTACCAACTGAGCTACATCCCTGCCGGCCATTCCCTCCCCTACCCTGGACGACGCTGGGCCAATTGTGCGCCGCCCCATGGGTCTCCCGGTCGCGGCCGGCTACGACAGAGCCTGGATTCGAACCAGGATCTCTAGTGGCACAGCTAGCACTGCCTTAGACCACTGCGCCACTCAGGAGCCCCATCAAGTTGATCTGCCCCCAACCGAGGAGGACATCCACTAACGTTAACTCCGGCGTTTGCTCCTGGACACGCTGCTTGGTCCTGTAATGGTGGGATCTTCTGTCATGATCGTCATAATGATTGGACCAAGGCGCAGCGTGATATGCGTACATCTTTTAATGAGTACTTTAACCAAATAACAAAACGATACGTGAAGTCTACAGGTTCACCAACACAAACCTATACAGAACAAGATCCCACAACACAAGTGCACAACAGGCTGCCTAAGTATGGTTCCCAATCAGAGACAACAAGCAACAGCTGATTCTCGTTGCCTCTGATTGAGAACCACCCCGGCCAACATAGAAACACATAACCTAGAACAGAACATAGAAAACGAAACATAGACACTACACAAAGAAACTAACACCCTGGCTCAACATACAAGAGTCCCCAGAGCCAGGGCGTGACAAAAGGCAATCATACTACTACCAACTATCACCCTCTGGCGCTCAAAGAGATTACGAATATTATAGACATGTTAGAATTGATGGATATTTGGAAGCTTAAAAACCCGGATCTTGTAAGATATACAGTGAAAGTATTCAGACCCCTTGACTTTTTCCCACATTTTATTATATTACAGCCTTATTCTAAAATTGATTAAATTGTTTTTTCCCCTCATCAATCTACACACAATACCCCATAATGACAAAGCAAAAACAGGTTTGTAGAATTTTTTGCTAATTTATTACAAATAAACTGATATCACATTTACATAAGTATTCAGACCCTTTACTCAGTACTTTGTTGAAGCACCTTTGGCAGCAATTACAGCCTCAAGTCTTCTTGGTTATGAAGCTACAAGCTTGGCACACCTGTATTTGGGGAGTTTCTCCAATTCTCCTCTGCAGATCCTCTCAAGCTCTGTCAGGTTTGATGGGGAGCGTTGATACACAGCTATTTTCAGGTCTATCCAGAGATGTTTGATCGGGTTCAAGTCCTGGTTGGGCCACTCAAGGACATTCAGAGACTTGTCCCGAAGCCACTCCTGCGTTGTCTTGGCTGTGTGCTTAGGGTCGTTGTCGTGTTGGAAGGTGAACCTTCGCCCCAGTCTGAGGTTCTGAGCACTCTGGAGCAGGTTTTCATCAAGGATCTCTCTGTACTTTGCTCCGTTCATCTTTGCCTCGATCCTGACTAGTCTCCCAGTCCCTGCCACTGAAAACATTCCCACAGCATGATGCTGCCACCACGCTTCACCGTAGGGATGGTGCCAGGTTTCCTCCAGACGTGACGCTTGTCATTCAGGCCAAAGAGTTCAATCTTGGTTTCATCAGACCAGAGAATCTTGTTTCTCATGGTCTGAGAGTCTTTAGGTGCCTTTTGGCAAACTCCAAGTGGGCTGTCATGCGCCTTTTACTGAGGAGTGGCTTCCGTCTGGCCACTCTACCATAAAGGCTTGATTTGTGGATTGATGCAGATGGATGTCCTTCTGGAAGGTTCTCCCATCTCCACAGAGGAACTCTAGAGCTCTGCCAGACCAAGGCCCTTCTCCCCCGATTGCTCAATTTGGCCGGTCGGCCAGCTCTAGGAAGAGTCTTGGTGGTTCCAAACCTCTTCCATGTATGAATGATGGAGGCCACTATGTTCTTGGGGAGCTTCAATGCTGCAGACATTTTTTGGTACCCTTCCCCAGATCTGTGCCTTTACACAATCTTGTCTCGGAGCTCTACTGACAATTCCATGTACTGTCAGCTGTGGACCTTAGACAGGTGTGTGTCAAATCAATTGAATTTACCACAGGTGGACTCCAATCAAGTTGTAGAAACATCTCAAGGATAATCAATGGAAACAGGATGCACCTGAACTCAATTTCGAGTCTCATAGCAAAGGGTCTGAATACTTATGTAAATAAGTTATTTGTTTTTTTAATTTTAATAAATGTGCAAAAATTTCAAAAAAACTGTTTTTGCTTTGTCATTATGGGGTATTGTGTGTAGATTGCTGAAGATGTGTATTTATTTAACCCAGTTTAGAATAAAGCTGTAACTTAACAAAATGTGGAAAAAGTCAAGGGGTCTGAATACTTTCCGAAGGCACTGTACTTGGAGGAGGCTTAATCAATCTAGTCTGATATATATTTTTTCTGGTATCCTTTTATATGGTGCCAAAAGTGAAAAAAGTACGGATCTTATAGCCCTCCATGTAACTCTGACAGACTTTCCACGAGGACAGGGATATTGGAAATGTAACCAGGATTTATTGACTGACACTACTTTCTTAACAAAAATTAAGGAATTCATAACCGACTTTTTCTTGCACAATACAGGTTCAGCGGACCAACGTATCTTATGGGATGCCTTTAAATGTACCCTTAGAGGCCATTCAATTACATTTTCATCCCAAAAACAGTATCGGTCAATAGTGTAAATAAATGTAATACAGAAGCACTGAATAATCCAGATGCAAAACAAAAAGAGTTTGAGGAACTTATTCAGGAAAGATCGCGTTTCATTTATCAAAAAAACTGCAAATTGGATGGAGAATGGCAAAAAATGCACCAACTTTTCCCTAAACCTTCAATATAGAACTGTGACCAAAAATAACTTACAACAATTTCTTAGAAACATGGAGAAATCCTTATCTCACCAATAGAGATTTTGAATGATTATGTAAAATAGTTTAAACAAATATTATTTTGTCAAGTTTCTCCAACCTCACTTGAGGATATGTTTTGTGATATCCTTCTCCCCAAAAATCATGTTAAACTATCTGCAACACAATTGTTTTTGTGACAGTCTAATTACACATGATGAACTATGGTTGGCAATTGATTCCTTTCAGATGGGGAAAACCCCTGGTCTCTGGCATTCCAATATAGATATCAACTTTTTATGAACTACTGAAATAATAAATAATGGTTACTTCTCTGAGAACTTTGAATTGTCAAGAGTCATAAAACAAGGCTGCCCTCTGTCACCATACCTATTTATTATGGCCACTGAATTGTTAGCTTTAAAAATGTGATCTAATGATAACATTAAGGGGCTAGAAGTTAAGATTAGAGACAAAAGTATCAATGTGTGCTGATGACTCAAGTTCTCTTGAGTCCTCAATCTTCAACCTTGAAAGGACTCATTGAGGACCTGGATAATTTCTCCAGTTTCTCTGGACTAAAACCCAACTATATTACAGATTGGGTCTCTAAAAGATACAAACTTTAAATTGCCATGTGGTCTCCCGATTAAATTGGCGGATGGTGAAGTTTATGTGCTTCATGTACATATCCTGGAAAGGTTGAGCGATCTTGCAACTATTAACTTCGATCGAAAGCAAAATAGATCGAATCTTGAAACCGTGGAAAGGGAATCACTTATCCATTTAAGGGAAGATTACCCTGATTTAATTATCTAGTGATATTGCAGTTTACATATTTATTCATGGCTCTACCGACTCCAGGAGAATACTTTTTCAAACCATGCGTAAAAACTTTTTTCCTACATTATTTGGAATGGCAAACCAGATAGTTAAATGAGCATATTTGTATAACGAACATGAGTTTGGAGGGTTAAAACTATTAATTATTACGGCATTAAATCTCTCTCTTAAAGCCTCCATTGTACCGAAATTGTATCTAAATCCAAATTGGTTTTCTAGCAAGCTACTAAGAGAGGGCCATCCAATGTTTTTGAGTGGGCTCTTTGTCTTTTTACATATTAAAACCTTACATTTTTGTTGGATTGACAATGGATCCCTGTTTAAAGTATCCTCCTTTTTTTAAATGAAGTCTTACAGAGTTGGTTACAATTTCGTCCTCCAGAAAAGGCAGATCTAATATTACAGCAAATAATATGGCTGAACTCCAATGTACTGATAGAGATATAGACTTTTTTTTTTGGGAAGAAATGTACAAGGGTATAATATTTATGAAGGACATTGTAAACAACAACGATAAAATTGTCACACAAACAACTAACAACAGTGTATGGAGGTGTATGCTCAATACAAAATTGGAAGAGACAATTACTTAAACAAGAAATTAACGAATTAGTCGGTCTGTCCCCATAAAAAAATCATAAATGGCTTAAAATGATTGAATGAAGTCAAAAGGTTTGACAGCAATACCGTATATAATTCAAGTCACGTTGCTAACAGGTTTTTGAAGTCCCAATACCTTGGCATCGGGTCTATGAACTGACATATAAAACAACAATTGACACATCAATCCGTTCATTTCAATTTAAGCTATTACATAAAATACTTGCTACAAAATGAATGCTCAATATATGATGCATTGAACAGTCAGCCTTGTGCAGACTCTGCCACGAGGAAGCAGAATCACTAGAATATATTTTCTGGTACTGTCCATCGGTGGGTCACTTTTGGAGTCAGGTCCAGGCATGGTTGTTATGTCATAATATCAGGGACCTGCAAACTGTATTGTTAGATCTGGAAAAACCACGATCAGTCAAGGGGAAATATAATTTATACTCTCAGGTAAAGTATTTATTTTTGGGGCAATGTCGTTAGAAATGTTACAAATAGGGAGGTTCAGGACACTCATAAGACATGATAGTAAAATGGAGGGATGTACTGCAAAACGAAATAGCAAAATGGTGTTATACTGGGAAAGATTAGTTAACCTGTGGACATTGGAGGGTTGGAGTTAAGGTCAGAATGAATGGCGGATTGGCCACTGTGGGTGAAAATCCAGCACTTACAGAAAGAGGAAATTAGGAATATATGTATAATTGTTTAAATACAGGTACCGTAGATGTGAGCGAAAATAGCTGTAAGTAGCAGTATAAGTAGTGTTGTCCGTTAGTTTACTCCAATCAGGGTAGGGTATGGTAGGGTAACATTGCATGTTACATGTCATTGGAACAAATACAAGAACAGAGTTTGGTTCAGTTTGTATGTATATGAGCAATAAGAGTCTAAAACCACTGAATATTAAACTGGTCATCCAAAAGTTACAATGGTTAGAGCCAACTATAGTTTTTTTTCTCTTCCCTACTGTATGTATCTTACACAAATAGGCTAAATAAAACATGATCATCATACAGTATGCTGTATAAAGAGTTTGGTTAACTTTCTATGGATCTAATTTAACTGCACTGTATATAAGTATCTGAATATGTATATATGAATAGTATGGAAATAGTAAAACATTGTTATCTCTTGGTGCCTCTACAATATGTTACTTTACATTTTAATGTAATAATATCTTAGGTTGTTCTTGTCCATAACTGTTCTGTGCTCTATCATGTATTTTATGATTTATGTGGACCCCAGGAAGAGTAGCTGCTGCATGTGCAACAGCTAATGGGGATCCTAATACATTTACATTTTAGTCATTTAGCAGATGCTCTTATCCAGAGCGACTTACAGTTAGTAAACTAAACTATGGATGTAATTGTTTCTCTATGGCTGTGGACACTTCTAGAATCTTCCCCATGATGACAGAGACCTAATCTGCAGCCATTATCCAATCGTTGCCTCTTTCACCACATGTGCGCAGACACCATTCTGTTGGGAGGCGTGGTAACCGTTGCTTAGGACCATCTTGGTCTTGGTAGCCACATCTTCGTAAATACGGTTGTCGTGGCGAGGCAGGAAGCCCCTCTGCAGCTTGTGCTCCAGGTGCATGTGGTTCTGAGGGGGGAGACCAAGGCACGCTCTGAAAGGGAAAAGGGATACCTAGTCAGTTGCAAAACTGAATGCATATCACCACAGAGACAGGCACAACGTTATTATTGGACAAGAGAGACAGGAAGCTCAGTAACAACCATTATGATAGGTGACCACTAAGACAAATCCCTAACAAGACAGGGTGGTATGTGTTCTGACCTCATGATGTTCTCGATGCAGGCTCTCTGTCTGAAGAAGGCGTTGACAAGCGGGGCCCCAGGGGGGACGAGGGGAGCTTTACACAGGAAGGAGAGGATAGCCAGGACACTGTGGAAGGACTGGAAGGTCTCTGATCCCTGGGGCCGGACACACACACGCTGACACAACTCTGTGAGGAGGACCAGGTCCAGGATGATAGGGCTGGCTAGCAGAGAGTCCTGGAGAGAGACACCTCTGTTAGAAAAAGCAGGTTGAGGTGTAAGTGTGCGTGTGTGTGTGTGTGTGTGTGACTCACCTCACAGGTGTTGTGCATTGCGATAGTGTTGGTTCCTCCCATCATGATCTCAGAGGTGTATTCATCCATCGCCCTCTTACTGTCCCCCACATACGGCACATACTTAATCACCACCTACACAGCAAGAGAACTGAGTCAAGTATTTCTCAAGAAAAACTATGGATACTTTCTGCCACTTAGTAAAATAAATGCAATGCAATTGATAGCTACCAGGTATGAAAAAACACACATACACATTTTCAACTCTTAACCCAGATCAGGTTTCTCTGTGTTACCACACACACACACACACGCGGAACCCACGCACATACTTACACAGTGGTCAGGTTTCTCCCCTTTGCGGTACAGTATAGGGTTGGAGTTGACCATGTCATCAACCACATTGCTCTTGGAGATCTCCTTGGAGCGGAACTGCTGTGGTGCTGAGAGGTTCATACCATCATTGTTGCCAAGGTGATTGTAGCTGACAATGGAGGTGGGCTGTCATGGCAACAGACAGCAACACGTTATTGTACAGTCTTGTATTAACCTAGTATTTACACACGAAATTGCCCTTATACCTGGGTAGTAACGTTGTAATTACTCTAGTAATAACAGTGTTTTAACATGTTGTATAGTAATTTCATAATAACTTAGTAATTGTATAATTATGTACATTGACATTATACAAGTGGAGCTGGGACTGTTCATATAACAGAAGTCCTATTAAAGTGAATGAAACATCAAATGGACTGGACTGGGTCGACCTCTCACCTTGATCCCAGCACTGATCAGGAAGTCGACCAGGACTGACTTGATCTTTGTCTGACCAGACTTGAAGTCGTCTCCTGCTATGAACACGTTTCTCTCCACAGCCAGCTCTATGGCCCCAGGGACAAACGTGTTCTGGGGAGAACCGTTGATGTAGGCACAGCCCTCCAGGATACTGGCTACGGCAAACAAAGTAGAGGGAGACACCTCCCCACCTGACTGAGAGAGAGAGAGAGTGTAAGAGAGAGAAGCCGAGTTAGAGAAAAAGAGAGAGACAGAATAGTATAGATGTATATAGATATAATAGATCTGTCAGATCTCTACCTGTATGGCAGCCAGGAGATTCTTGGCCGTGTCGTTGACCCCGGCTGTGAGGTCACAGAAACGTTCGGTGTTGGCCGTCCACAAAACGATGACCTTGTCCACGCCACTTGAATGCTTGAAGTCCTGAATGTCTGCTCTGATCTGCTCCACCTGGAGGGAGATAGAAGAATCACTACTCAGACACATAGGGTCTAGGGTGTATGGGGTAAGAGATAGGGGGTTAGGGGGACAAGGAGCATGGGGCACACACACTACTTTGGATTGGGCGTACCTGTTCGGCCATGGTCCCTGTCAGAACGTTGTCCGCTCGGCCCGCCTGGTTGGCAGCTATGAATTCCGGGAAATAGATGGAGGCCCGGGGTCGGAGGTGGCTCATGTGTGGGCGGAGCTTCTCCTGGAGGGACCAATCAAGGACCTCGGCTCTCTCCATCGCACTGCCCAGATCCATGGACGAGATGTCCCAGCCTGACACACACACACACACACACACTCTCTGTTTGAATTTGTTAGCTAAAGTTTACACACCTAATGTCTCTTAAAACAAAACCCTCCAGACAAGCCCAAGTGCACACAGAGGACCAGTTAGACTAGAGGACCAGAGGTGTGTACTGCACCTCTGTCTCCAGGGCAGTGCTGAGTAATGGTGCTAGATAGACTGACAGAGTTAAACAGGAGGTTAAATACCCAGCCTGGCAGACAAGACATTCCACATGGAGCCTTTTATCTTTTCCTTTTCCACAGAGTGGCCCCTGAAGAACTGACCTAGGGTCAGCATTCCCTCTCTGATTACACACAGACACACACAAACCCACAGACACACATACACTCCTTTACCATCAAAGACGATATCATCAGGGTGCACCATGGGTAGGAGGTCACGGAACGGAACGTTAACTTCCTTTCCATCTGGCCCCGCCCCCAAACACACCGTTGAGGACTGGAAGAGGGAACCATAGTAGTTGGCTTTCTGGGAGGGGGGAGAGGGGTTTGAAAAAGGGGAGAGGGTAAAAAAACAGAGACAGAACAAAAATAAATAACAAGTCTTGAAAAATAACAACACATTAAATCAGTGGTATTCAAACGTTTTCAGCGGGGACCCCTTTTTCCCACCAGATTTTCTGCCAACCCCACCCCATCCAAAATGTAACGACAACCTTAAAATCGGTACATTTTGATTTTTTACATCAACAAATAACCTTCAATTCACTACATTTTCATCTCTCTTATCAAAATTAAGAGAACCAATAAATACATTTACTCAATAAAATGTTATTTTTCAAATGATCTTTCTCAAAAACGTTTGTATATTATCCTATACAATAATCTGTACTATTAAATGTTTTGTTTTGGCGAGCCCACTGCAATTCCCCCGGGACCCCACTCGGGTCATGGCTCCAACTTTGAATATCACTGCATTTAATGGAGAATGATTTGAGGGATTTTTTTTTTACTTATAAAAAGTGATACACTCGGGGAAGTAATGATGCACATATAAGGTAAAGGACTGCCTTTACCTCAGTCAATGTTAAGCCCTTAACACTCCACTAAACCCATCATATCAGTGTGTGTGTGTGTGTGTGTGTGTGTGTGTGTGTGTGTGTGTGTGTGTGTGTGTGTGTGTGTGTGTGTGTGTGTGTGTGTGTGTGTGAACCCATCACTGTATCAGGGGTATAATGAGGCTCTGCTAGCTAGCTCTGTATCAGGGGAGAGACATATCTTTGGAAAATAGGCCATAAAACTGTCACAAAGCAGGATCAATGAGACACACACACACACACATCACATTACCTGTTCTCCAGTTTTGGTTCTCCAGGTGAGTCCCAGTCTGTTGGCCAGGACAGCAGCGGTGACGGTGGTCCCATTGTTTCCTCCCCAGCCAACTAGCATCACCCCCAGCCTGGGGACACGTCGCTCAGTACGGAACGCCAGCTCACTAACGGACGGGGTCACCTGGAAGGGTGGAGTGGAGAGATTTACACAGTTAGAAAAGAGATATGTGATGTTGGTGGAGTGTGTGTTTGTGTAAGTGTGTGTGAGACTTACTATGAGTGTGTCTTCATCCCTGCGTACAGCTGTAGTATGGTAACTGTACTGAGCCTCGATGTGTGTGTCTGTGTACTTCACATTGGGATTGTTGATACGAATGTTCTCAGTCATGACTGCAGTCTAGAGAGAGAGAGAGTGACAGAGAGAGAGAAAAATATAGAGACAGAGAGAGAGAGTGTGCAACAGCACAGTTAGGGGAGAAATGAACACTAGGGTTAGCCTAGGGGTTCTTTGGCTTCATTGATTTATTTGAATAATGTAATTTCCCTAAATATAACAAATATATTAAAATATGAAAAATAACTATAGACTGAATTGATTATAGGTCTATCGGAAAAGCAACACATTTTAGGGAATTTTCCTTCACCCATGAAATTGTATTGGTCATTCATGTGCTCCTGGGATGTGGGAAACTGGGAATTTGTAAATCCAACAGGACTGTTTTCAAGTGCTTTAGGATTCAGACCAATTCTTCAACCAACAAGATTTTAGCTAGCTTGATAAGCGAGCCAATGTTGCAAATAAAAAAGTTAGCTAGCTTGCTTAACATTGACAATATGGTCAAACTATCTACATTATCCACATTGATACGTTTAGAGGCTAATTGTCAAAAGCGGATTTGTTGTCTTCTTTTGGTTGAAAATATGAAAGGTCAGTGGTGAAACGTCACAACTTGAATAACAACATTTTCTCAGAGTTTCCCACTTATAATTACGACTTGGAGGGTCGTGCAAGTGAAACATCTGTCGGAACTCTGCACTTCCCATAACTCCGACAGGATATGAACGCACCATTTATCATGGCGGACTAGAGATAAAGTGACGCGTCACAAGCCACCACCGTAAAGTGAGCAACAGTAGCGTTTAGCAACAATTGTGGAATTAGCGGTTCGCCTTCAAAATAAAAGTCCTGCATTGAAACTGATGCAAACTGATATAAATAGTGGAATCATGCCACAATTGGAATGGATAATGGTGAACATGGTTGGAATGTCAATAATTAATTAATTTTTAGAATAAACAGCAAAATCTGTTGAAATCGCACTGTGGATGTAGGCCTAATAGTCTTCCGAATTGAATTGGGTCTTATGGCCCTACTTACTGTATATTAGCAACCGCTGTCTAAATTGTTGAAAGGTTAAAAATACAATTCTGACATATGTAACAGTTAAGACAATGGAGTAAGATATCATAAAACATTGTAGCCTACTGGCACGAACAAATAATGAGTGGAGATCAGACATTTTGGTTGGAATTCAGATATTCAAGTTATTTTCGGAACACTGTCAAAATTGTCAAATTAACTTTTTTTCTCTTTATAATCCCTTTTTCCCCCCTGGCTCTAGATTACACCTATCTAGAGCATACATAGGCATACTTTACATACGCCTATTGTTTGCCAGATCAGATCATCACTAAATTCCGAGTGTTCCTTCTCGGAAGGTGCTTTCATTTCAACGCATGTAGCCTAATTTGTAAACATTTTAAATGTATTAAAGTATTACTTTTTTCAATTGCACAAAAAAATCGATACACAGCAATACAAAATAAAGTTATAATTCTTCTGTTTTTTGTGTGTGTGATTTAGCCTAAGTGTCGAGATGGCGCGTTAAATCCCCGACCAAGAGCTGGTTGAATAGATGTGTAATGACCTTAACCCAACACGACCTCATCAATAGGTTCAGATCTCTTGTCCTAACGGTTAAAGCGTTTGTTAGACAGTCACTGTACCCGGGGTAAAGTTGGTGTCAGATGTGGGATGGCGCCCTCGCAGAGGCATGTACACGTGACCCACTTGGCACATACAGCAGTTCAATGTCTATTTTTGATTAACATCTAGTTGAGTTGTCAACTAACTTGAAATCAACAAAACATTTCACCATGACTTTGGATTTAGGTGAAAAAGTACGTGAAAAAAATATGAAATTCCCTTACATTGATGACTTTTTACAAATGCAATCCAATCAGTTTTCCACGTTGATTCAACTTTTACATTTATTTATTTTTGTTGAAATGACGTGAAAACAATGTTGATTCAACCAGTTTTTGCCCAATGGGGAGGGACTTGGTAAAGAGGTGTTGTTCCCAACCAGCTAGTTAGCGGTGCGCACTAGCAGCGTTTCAATCGGTGACGTCACTCGCTCTGAGACATTTTTACATTTTAGTCATTTAGCAGACGCTCTTATCCAGAGCGACTTACAGTTAGTGAATACATTATTTTTTTTAATACTGGCCCCCCGTGGGAATTGAACCCACAACCCTGGCGTTGCAAACGCCATGCTCTATCAACTGAGCTACATCCCTGCCGGCCATTCCCTCCCCTACCCTGGACGACGCTGGGCCAATTGTGCGCCACCCATGAGTCTCCCGGTCGCGGCCGGCTGCGACAGAGCCTGGATTCGAACCAGGATCTCTAGTGGCACAGTTAGCACTGCGATGCAGTGCCTTAGACCACTGCGCCACTCACCTTGAAGTAGTTGTTTCCCTTGCTCTGCTACAGCCGCGGCTTTTGTGGAGCGACGGGTAACGGTGCTTCGAGGGTGACTGTTGTCGATGTGTGCAGAGGGTCCCTGGTTCAAGCCCAGGTAGAGGCGAGGAGAGGGACGGAAGCAACACTGTTACACTAGGACCCCTGGGGGTACTTGGCCTTTCTAGAGGGGGTACTTGAGAAGACTCATGAGACCATAGGCCTACTGGTAAAATGCACGAGGGGGTACTTCAGGGGTACTCCGGGCGGAGCAAAATTAAATTGGTAACCGATAACCGAAAAAGGTTGGGTACCACTGGTATAGAGAAGCGTGGGGACAGCGCTCCAGAAGAAAGTAATGTAGCGACCTTAACGAATGCCTCGGGCCTCCCGAGGGGCACAGTGCTAGCTGTGCCACTAGAGATCCTGGTTCGAATCCAGGCTCTGTCGTAGCCGGCCGCGACCGGGAGACCCATGGGGCGGCGCACAATTGGCCCAGCATCGTCTAGGGTAGGGGAGGGAATGGCCGGCAGGGATGTAGCTCAGTTGGTAGAGCATGGCGTTTGCAACGCCAGTGTTGTGGGTTCGATTCCCACGGGGGGTATGAAAATAAATAAATAAATAAATGTATGCACTCACTAACTGTAAGTCGCTCTGGATAAGAGCGTCTGCTAAATGAGTAAAATGTAAATGCCTAGCCACCTTGTCAAAAGGTTCGGATCTTTACAGGTGTTGGCTTCACAGTCGCTGGGCCCGCGTTCGAATGCCGGTATGGGCTACCCCCAAAATCGTCTGAGATGCAAAACAAACATTGTATTCCATTGAGCCTATGTCAGCCATTACTGGAGTGTTTAACGGGGAAAAACTAATGGCACAGGCAAGACTGGGATAGAGTCGCCAGCGTAAAATGAAAGCAATTGATCCAGTGACAAGTAGGCTACAGGAAACAAACAGAAAATTGATGGCTGAAAATGTGAAATCATTACCTTTAGATTGTGAATTCATGACATGGAGTTTCAGCCTAATCGGTGACATCTATACCTACAAAACACAATTCTGGAGAGTAGCCTATGTATGCACAGATATTAGCATCGTAGATCCTATTGCGGAACTTTGATAGTACGCACTTAAAGCCTACGCACTTTAGTCTACCTACCGTGGAATGCGTTAGTCTGGAGATGAAGATGGAACTTTCCCTTCCTAAACAACTAACGGGTTACGGACGGTTCTTCGTTGATTTGATGGCTTGCTTGTTTCGATTTTCGGTTATATTTAATCTAATAGCCTAGTAAATCGCTTGTTCTCATGCGCAGCCCGACCTCTTCAATTCGTCAAGTAAGCCGAAGTGAAATAAAGATGTGAAGTTCCAGTAGTGCCGTTGCGAGTGCAGGAGGATATCATGTAGAGCCCCGTTCATATATAGATAGCTTAGTTGTAGAGCCGGACTGGCTACTTGTAGGCAGAGGAGTGTCTATGCAAAATAACCTTTGGGAGGCGAATATTTTCTATACCCACATTTACATATCTGTACACCCAGTACACGCCAGTAAAATTAGACTAGTCTTGCTATAAGGAAAAAAAATAGACGTAAGACCTTATTATGTCATATAATTCAAGTAGTCCTAACGTGTTTCAGCAGTTGACTTGTGCTTTATGGAAAATAATACTTGATAAAGGATATCTTATTATTATCTAATATCTATTACTGCTAATACACTCTCGGACATTGTTATTCAGAAGAACAATTACTAGGCTTTATTGATCAGTGTATCTGACAATGTTGTGCTTTTTTGTATTTCACAATCAGATCATGGTGTCGTAATAATGTTAAACTGATGTGAATCAAAAAGTTTGTTACCGTCACTCTTGAAGCACGTGATAATCGCGACTGGTGACTTGCAGGTGCCGGAGGCCCAGCCTGATGACTAAATTACGATTTATGACATTGTTTGGATGGCTGACCTTTTGTGCAGTGTCACAGTGGTCAAACACACCTTATCTGTGTCTTTCTCCGGGGAGAGACGTTCTCACAGAACCCTGGGAGGCTTAAAGACAGATGTTTGGATTGTTTTAAAAGTTAATAAAGAGCTACGAATTTGTATATGTTTTATTGTACTGTAGGTGCTATGGATATATTGTTACAGAGAAACTGTGTTATTTTGTTCATTGGATGGCGGATAGTCCAGAGGGAGCGACACAGCGGTGCGCTCCTATCATTTAAATTGAGTTGATCAGATTAGAATCTGGGCGTGTTTTCCTGTCTTTTGTTTTTACTAGCAAAGTGCAAAGAAATGTTAATTCAGGTTGGGGGTGAGTTTCTGCTTGCATTTAAAGGACAGTGAATTTGTTAATACTTTGAGAACTTGATACCATGCTCCTGTGTGTATCAGAAGCACGTTTTCATTTGATGCACATAGTTTTTTCTCTAAGAGATTATTCTGAATTGAAGACACGTGTAACCATGTTAAATCAGCCTATTGGTGATAGTCATTTACTATGAGTAGTCTGTAATGTATCATGTATTTCATGTACACTGTAATTGTTTGAGTGTTAATTATTTAGTGACTAAAAATGCTATTAGTTGAGTTGAGTAAATGCATTCCTCGTTTTACGTAGTAATTATTTGATTGACTATAGCTTATAATTGAGTAGGTCTATTGGTAATTGCTATATACACTATACACATAGCACATGCTTGGGTAACACCTTGACATAGCTGATCTGCTTGCCTCAATAAATTAATGCTAGAACTTCGGTCGCCAGGGTTAGCTATTTGTATCTAGTCTCGTGCCCACCACAGCACAGAGACAGCCTTAGCTAAAGTGGTAAATTATCTTAGAGCCAACACAGATGCCAAACAGCTCTCTGGCCTTGCGTTAGTCTGGAGATGAAGATGGAACTTTCCCTTCCTAAACAACTAACGGGTTACGGACGGTTCTTCGTTGATTTGATGGCTTGCTTGTTTCGATTTTCGGTTATATTTAATCTAATAGCCTAGTAAATCGCTTGTTCTCATGCGCAGCCCGACCTCTTCAATTCGTCAAGTAAGCCGAAGTGAAATAAAGATGTGACGTTCCAGTAGTGCCGTTGCGAGTGCAGGAGGATATCATGTAGAGCCCCGTTCATATATAGATAGCTTAGTTGTAGAGCCGGACTGGCTACTTGTAGGCAGAGGAGTGTCTATGCAAAATAACCTTTGGGAGGCGAATATTTTCTATACCCACATTTACATATCTGTACACCCAGTACACGCCAGTAAAATTAGACTAGTCTTGCTATTAGGAAAAAAATAGACGTAAAACATTATTATGTCATATAATTCAAGTAGTCCTAACGTGTTTCAGCAGTTGACTTGTGCTTTATGGAAAATAATACTTGATAAAGGATATCTTATTATTATCTAATATCTATTACTGCTAATACACTCTCGGACATTGTTATTCAGAAGAACAATTACTAGGCTTTATTGATCAGTGTATCTGACAATGTTGTGCTTTTTTGTATTTCACAATCAGATCATGGTGTCGTAATAATGTTAAACTGATGTGAATCAAAAAGTTTGTTACCGTCACTCTTGAAGCAGGTGATAATCGCGACTGGTGACTTGCAGGTGCCGGAGGCACAGCCTGATGACTAAATTACGATTTAAGACATTGTTTGGATGGCTGACCTTTTGTGCAGTGTCACAGTGGTCAAACACACCTTATCTGTGTCTTTCTCCGGGGAGAGACGTTCTCACAGAACCCTGGGAGGCTTAAAGACAGATGTTTGGATTGTTTTAAAAGTTAATAAAGAGCTACGAATTTGTATATGTTTTATTGTACTGTAGGTGCTATGGATATATTGTTACAGAGAAACTGTGTTATTTTGTTCATTGGATGGCGGATAGTCCAGAGGGAGCGACACAGCGGTGCGCTCCTATCATTTAAATTGAGTTGATCAGATTAGAATCTGGGCGTGTTTTCCTGTCTTTTGTTTTTACTAGCAAAGTGCAAAGAAATGTTAATTCAGGTTGGGGGTGAGTTTCTGCTTGCATTTAAAGGACAGTGAATTTGTTAATACTTTGAGAACTTGATACCATGCTCCTGTGTGTATCAGAAGCACGTTTTCATTTGATGCACATAGTTTTTTCTCTAAGAGATTATTCTGAATTGAAGACACGTGTAACCATGTTAAATCAGCCTATTGGTGATAGTCATTTACTATGAGTAGTCTGTAATGTATCATGTATTTCATGTACACTGTAATTGTTTGAGTGTTAATTATTTAGTGACTAAAAATGCTATTAGTTGAGTTGAGTAAATGCATTCCTCGTTTTACGTAGTAATTATTTGATTGACTATAGCTTATAATTGAGTAGGTCTATTGGTAATTGCTATATACACTATACACATAGCACATGCTTGGGTAACACCTTGACATAGCTGATCTGCTTGCCTCAATAAATTAATGCTAGAACTTCGGTCGCCAGGGTTAGCTATTTGTATCTAGTCTCGTGCCCACCACAGCACAGAGACAGCCTTAGCTAAAGTGGTAAATTATCTTAGAGCCAACACAGATGCCAAACAGCTCTCTGGCCTTGCGTTAGTCTGGAGATGAAGATGGAACTTTCCCTTCCTAAACAACTAACGGGTTACGGACGGTTCTTCGTTGATTTGATGGCTTGCTTGTTTCGATTTTTGGTTATATTTAATCTAATAGCCTAGTAAATCGCTTGTTCTCATGCGCAGCCCGACCTCTTCAATTCGTCAAGTAAGCCGAAGTGAAATAAAGATGTGAAGTTCCAGTAGTGCCGTTGCGAGTGCAGGAGGATCTCATGTAGAGCCCCGTTCATATATAGATAGCTTAGTTGTAGAACCGGACTGGCTACTTGTAGGCAGAGGAGTGTCTATGCAAAATAACCTTTGGGAGGCGAATATTTTCTATACCCACATTTACATATCTGTACACCCAGTACACGCCAGTAAAATTAGACTAGTCTTGCTATTAGGAAAAAAATAGACGTAAAACATTATTATGTCATATAATTCAAGTAGTCCTAACGTGTTTCAGCAGTTGACTTGTGCTTTATGGAAAATAATACTTGATAAAGGATATCTTATTATTATCTAATATCTATTACTGCTAATACACTCTCGGACATTGTTATTCAGAAGAACAATTACTAGGCTTTATTGATCAGTGTATCTGACAATGTTGTGCTTTTTTGTATTTCACAATCAGATCATGGTGTCGTAATAATGTTAAACTGATGTGAATCAAAAAGTTTGTTACCGTCACTCTTGAAGCACGTGATAATCGCGACTGGTGACTTGCAGGTGCCGGAGGCCCAGCCTGATGACTAAATTACGATTTATGACATTGTTTGGATGGCTGACCTTTTGTGCAGTGTCACAGTGGTCAAACACACCTTATCTGTGTCTTTCTCCGGGGAGGGACGTTCTCACAGAACCCTGGGAGGCTTAAAGACAGATGTTTGGATTGTTTTAAAAGTTAATAAAGAGCTACGAATTTGTATATGTTTTATTGTACTGTAGGTGCTATGGATATATTGTTACAGAGAAACTGTGTTATTTTGTTCATTGGATGGCGGATAGTCCAGAGGGAGCGACACAGCGGTGCGCTCCTATCATTTAAATTGAGTTGATCAGATTAGAATCTGGGCGTGTTTTCCTGTCTTTTGTTTTTACTAGCAAAGTGCAAAGAAATGTTAATTCAGGTTGGGGGTGAGTTTCTGCTTGCATTTAAAGGACAGTGAATTTGTTAATACTTTGAGAACTTGATACCATGCTCCTGTGTGTATCAAAAGCAAGTTTTCATTTGATGCACATAGTTTTTTCTCTAAGAGATTATTCTGAATTGAAGACACGTGTAACCATGTTAAATCAGCCTATTGGTGATAGTCATTTACTATGAGTAGTCTGTAATGTATCATGTATTTCATGTACACTGTAATTGTTTGAGTGTTAATTCTTTCGTGACTAAAAATGCTATTAGTTGAGTTGAGTAAATGCATTCCTCGTTTTACGTAGTAATTATTTGATTGACTATAGCTTATAATTGAGTAGGTCTATTGGTAATTGCTATATACACTATACACATAGCACATGCTTGGGTAACACCTTGACATCGCTGATCTGCTTGCCTCAATAAATTAATGCTAGAACTTCGGTCGCCAGGGTTAGCTATTTGTATCTAGTCTCATGCCCACCACAGCACAGAGACAGCCTTAGCTAAAGTGGTAAATTATCTTAGAGCCAACACAGATGCCAAACAGCTCGCTGTCCTTGTACTTTTAGATTTAAGTGCTGCATTCAATACTGTTGACCATGATGTCCTTCTGGACAGATTGGAGAGGTGGGTTGGCCTCTCCGGTCCAGTTCCAAATTGGTTTAGGACCTATTTAACCGGT